AATTTATGTAGAATTAAATATCTTTCTCTTATTCTCTCATACATTGTGAGAACGCGCTCTAATGAGATTCCAGACCAGAGAAGAGCTAATCCCCCTGTTGTTAGAGACCGACGCAGAGGCCGAGGGAGGGCTCCATCCCATGGTAGGGGATGGAGGACGTCCCAAGATTGTTCCAGTTATGCCACCAGTGGATCTAGCAGAGGATCCCATTATTGAGGAACAGGGTAAGGTGCCCGTGGCAGAGCCAGCTCCGGTGGATTTCACGTCTGTACCAGGATTCCAGGAGGTCATGGGCCATATGCTGCAGTTCATGGACACTATGACTCAGGCCAGTTTATTTCCGGCAGACCCAGCCACATCTCAGGCGGGCGAGGGAGCACTGCACAGGCTCATGGGCAGGCAACTGTTGTATATCAGACCCAGGGTGCACTACCCATGGGTGGAGCCCAGCCAGTGGCAGTAGCTACACCTGAGCCCAGACCAGCTGCGATCGTCGAGCCACAGAAACTATTGGACAGATGGACTAGACTACATCCTCTTATATTTGGGGGTGAGTGACATGAGGATCCCCAGGACTTCATTGATCGGTGCAGTGACATACTGCACAACATGAGGATATTGGAGTCTCATGGGGTAGACTTTGCTACTTTTCAGCTAAAAGGCAGAGCCCGTAGATGGTGGAAATCTTATCTTCTTGGCAAACCAGCAGATTCTCATCCCATGACTTGGGACAGGTTCACTCGTATTTTCGTGGACAAGTATATTCCACCCTCCCAAAGGGAGAGTTGCGGTTTTAGTTTGAGCAGCTCCAGCAGGGTCAGATGTCAGTGACCGATTATGAGGCGAGGTTTTCTGAGTTATCTCGCCATTCACTTATGATACTCCCTACTGAGGCGGAGAGAGTGCGGAGGTTCGTTGCGAGTTTACATACTGACATTCAGGCCACTATGGCCCGAGAGGTTGAGATGAGGACTTCTTATGGGTTGGTCGTGGAGATAGCCAAGAGGATTGAAGGTGTGCGTCAGCGTAGCCGGGAGCAGGTTATGAGAGATAAGCGGTTTAGATATTCTGGAGAATTCAGAGTTGCTCCGTCTGGGGGCAGAGGTCAGTTCGTGAGAGGGAAGTCCAGCAGGCCCCCATATCCAGCACCACTGCCTCCTCGGTGTGCTCCAGTATGACCTTATTTCAATGCTATGCCAGAGAGTTCTTATCGCCCACCAGCTATTCAGTGTTCTTCCAGTGGGGATTAAGGTCACCAGGGCCAAGCTCTTAGTCAGTAGCCCATCGCACCAAAAAGTTGTTACGAGTGCGGGGATCCCAGTCACATGCGGAGATTCTGCCTCAGGCTTTGGGGTAGACTAGTGCAGCAGGGTCAACAACCTATGATTACCGCACCAGTTGCTCCACCAGTCGTCCGACCACTAAAAGGTAGAGGACAGGTGGGTAGGGGTTGTCCTAGAGGTGGAGGTCAACCAGATAGAGGCCAGCCAGTTGGCGCTCCAGCTCGGTTCTATGCTTTTTCGGCCAGACCAGATGCAGAGGCCTCAGATGCCATGATTACATGTATTATTTCTGTTTGCGGCAAAGATGCCTCTGTATTATTTGATCCAGGATCTACGTATTCATATGTGTCATCTCTATTTGCTCATTTCCTGAGTGTTTCTCGTGGGTCCTTAAGTACTCATGTTTATGTGTCCACTCCTATGGGCGATTTTGTTGTTGTGGATCGGATCTACTAGTCCTGTATTATTACATTCTGTGGTTATGAAACTAGAGCAGATCTTCTATTGCTTGAGATGACCGACTTTGAAATCATCCTGGGCATGGACTTATTATCTCCATATCATGCCATCCTAGATTGTCATGCCAAGACTGTTACCTTGGCTATTCCAGCATTGCCTAGGCTAAAGTGGAATGGTTTGTCTGTTAGTGCATCTAATCGGGTTATTTATTTTATGAAGGCTCAACACATGGTTGAGAAGGGTTGTTTGGCTTATCTAGCCTATGTTCGGGATACTACTGCAGAGACTCCAACTATTAATTCAATGCCTGTAGTTTGAGGGTTCTCCGATGTATTCCCTTCAGATCTTCCAGGCATACCACCAGATCGTGATATTGATTTCTGTATTGACTTGGCTCCAGATACCCAACCTATATCTATCTCACCATATCGCATGGCTCCGAAAGAATTGAAAGAATTGAAAGAACGGCTTGAGGAGTTATTAGCTAAAGGGTTCATCAGACCAAGTGTATCACCTTGGGGTGCACCGGTGTTATTTGTAAATAAGAAGGATGGAACGATGCGAATGTGTATTGACTATCTCCAATTGCACAAAGTCACTATTAAGAACAAGTACCTGTTGTCACGTCTTGACTTCGGTCAACATTTTTAGAAAACAACACCAGAATAGAATTTTGATGATTCCAACAGCTCTATATGATGATTTTGGACTTAGAAGCTTGTTCGCAATTTTATTTGGAAGTCCGTAGTTAAATTAGGCTTGAAATGGCTAAAATAGAAATTTAAGTTTGGAAGTGTGACCGGGGAGTTGACTTTTTGATATTGGAGTCGGAACCCAATTTTGAAAATTTTCATAGCTCTGTTATGTCATTTATGACTTGTGTGCTAAATTTGAGGTCAATCGAACTTGATTTGTTAGGTTTCGACATCAAATGTAGAAGTTGGAAATTTTAAGTTTCATTAAACTTAAATTGGAGTATAATTCATGCTTTTAGCATTGTTTGATGTGATTTGAGATTTCGACTAAGTTTTTATGATGTTATAGGACTTGTTGGTATATTTGGTTGAGAACCCAAGGGACTCGGGTGAGTTTCGGACGGCTAACGGATCATTTTTGGCCTTTGGGAGATAGCTTATAGCTGCTGATATTTTTCTTCTGGTTTCCTTATACGCGATCGCATAGGTTCATCCGCGATCGCGTAAGCTAATTTGGGGCAGAGGAGACTTTGTTCTACGCGATCGCGTAGATTTGGGAGTTTGTTATTTGCGAACGCGTGAAGAAGGTCGTGATCGCGTAGAGTAAGTAGAGAAGAAGTGGAGGTCACGTGTTTGTGCTTCGCGATCGCGTGTTTGTGCTTCCCGATCGCGTGGACGAGTTCGCGATCGCATAGGCCTATGAGTTTGATCTTCGCAATTGCGTGGACAAGTCCGCGATCGTGTAGGGTTAATTTGGGCAGTGGAAAAATTGTGCTTCGCGATCGCGTGAGAAGGTTCGCGATCGCGTAGAGCAAATGACTAGGCAGAGAGTTTATGTTCTGAAAATGGGACTTCCTCCCATTTTTCATTTTTACCAATTTGGAGCTCGGATTAAGGCGATTTTTGGGAGATATTCAGAGAAAACAACGGGGTAAGTATTCTTAACTCAATATTGGCTAAATTACTCGAATCCATCACTGTTTTTATTATTTATTTGGTGAATTAATTTGGAAAATTTTGAAAACCCTCTTGGATAAATTTGAGGATTTGAGGGCTGAATTGTTATCGGAATATGTAATTTTGGTATGGGTAGACTCGTGGTTGAATAGGCGTTCATATTTCGTAACTTTCAACGGATTCCGAGACGTGGGCCTCACGGACCATTTTTGAGTTAATTTCGGATTTTTATTGAAAAATATAGTATTTTCTTATGAAATTGATTCCTATAATTTTTTGTGACTGTATCGAATTAATTTGGCTAGATTCGAGCCATTCAGAGTTGAATAATCGTGGAAAAAAGGCCTACTAGTAAATTAAATTGGAGCAAGTCGAGAAAAGTCTCTTGCCTAACCTTGTAAGGGAAAAATTACCCCATAGGTGATTTAAATTAATAATTATTGCTAATTGTGGGGGCTACGTACGCACGAAGTGACGAGAGTCCATGCGTAGCTACTATTTATGCTAAAGTCCGGGTAGTTTAGGACTCAGATCATGAATTACGTGTGTTAATTGTATCATTTATTTAATTAAAGTATTTGAACTATACTGTGAATTATTAGGGAAAGTAGTAAAAGATTGAAATCTCATATACTTGAATTTTTGTATAAATTAATTAATTGTTAAAAGAAATTGTACACCCTTTTTGTATTAATCTCATAATATATATATCTCATTCTGGAGGTACATAAGAAAATGTCCTCCTTTCTTGTGGAGTGGGCCGAACGCCTCGGCAGTATAGATGCATCTATAGATCGCGCCGCACGTCCCTTGGGTACACGATACTCTGGATCGGGCCGTACGACCTCGACAGAAATTGTGCCTAATAATAATAATTATACGATACCTTGATATTTTAATTGCAGCTTGTGAAGTTAAATAAACGGGGAATTATCGTATTTGAAGGAATTTAATTATTTCTGATGGTTAAGGAAAATTATTGTAAATTCTATAAATTATATTGATTTAAATATTTCTATTGTTATTTTATTTATTATATTTGACCCTTAGTGAGTGTCAAAGTCGACCTCTCATCACTACCTCTTCGAGATTAGGCTTGATACTTACTTGGTACACGTTGTTTACGTACTCATGCTACACTTGCTGCACTTTTTGTGCAGGACCTGAGACAGGTAATGTAGTTGGGCCTATCGGCGCGCATTCACGTTATCCAGAGGCTTAGTGGTGAGCTGCCTTTTTGAGTCGTTCTGCAGCAACTAGTGCCTCTTCTTGAAATTTTATCTGTCTATTTTATTTCAGACAGTATTTGAAATTTATTTTTGTATAATCTACTATATGCTCATACACTTGTGACACCAGGTCTTGGCACACACTAGTAGAATTTTTGGATTTAATTATTTTACTTGGGTATTAACTTATCTTATTTCTCACCTTGTCTTAATTTTTGCAAGTACCCCGAGTTTTATTACTCGAATAATTTTTATAGAAATGAATATATGTTTAAATCATTAGTTGGCTTGCCTAGCTGGATGTTGAGCGTCATCACGACCTATAAGTGAATTTGGGTCGTGACATAAATAGTGTTCATCTTAAATGTTTCAATAGAATGCAAGATTTGTCGAATCAACGCCAATCAATTCAATCGTTTTTTGACAGACAAAGCGAGAAAGTAAAAAGTGATCGTCGAATGCGCTTAAATGCCTCAATTGATGTAATGAGGTTTCTCTTAAGAGATGGATTTCCATTTCGTGGTCATGATGAGAGTAAAGATTTCGAATACAAAGGTATTTTTCTTGAACTTTTGGAATTTCATGGAGATAAGTATCCGGATGTGGGAAAAGTGATATTACGTCATGCTCCAAAAAATGATATAATGATTTGTCCAACCATTCAAAAGGAGATTGTGGATGCTTGTGCTAAAGAAACCTCTAAAGATATTATCAAAGATTTAGATGGTGATTATTTTGGAATATTGGTTGATGAATCAAAGGGTATCTCACATAAGGAGCAAATGGCCCTAGTTCTACGATATGTTAACAAAAATGGGGAGGTGATAGAGAGATTTTTGGGCATTGTCCATGTAAAAGATATATATGCACAATCATTGAAGGATGAAATTTATTCTTTACTTTTGGATAATTCATTAAGTTCATCCAAGATACGTGGACATGGTTATGATGAAGCAAGTAATATGCAGGGAAAAATAAATGACGTAAATACTTTAATTTTGCAAGATGCTCCTTCTGCATATTATATTCACTAATTTGCATATCAATTGCAATCGACACTTTTAGATCTTTCTAAAAAGTATTCGGATGTGAATAATTTCTTTGATGTTGTCATTACTTTGTTGAATACTATTGGAGCATCTTTTAAACGCAGGGAATTACTTAGACAACACCAAGTAGAGAAGTTGGAAGAATTACTTAAAAATGGAGAAGTTTATACCGGGCAAGGATTGAATCAAGAACGTGGCCTCCAATGACCGGGTGATACTCGTTGGGGGTCACATTTTAAGACCTTGGAAAATTTTATGATTATATTTGCTTCAATTGCTATTGTGCTGAAAGATATGCAACATGATTGTCTACTTTCTCTTGATAGATTTGCAGCAAATATTCTTTTGGATAATATTCAAGAATTTGAATTTGTGTTTATGTTGCACTTGATGTTCAAGATGTTGCTTCTTACAAATGAATTGAATAAAGCTCTACAAAAAAAAAAGATCAAGATATCGTCAATCCTATGAGGTTACCTGACCTTGCAAAGACAAGATTGCAAACAATGAGAGAAAGTGAATTGGAGTCTTTGATGGATGAAGTTTACTCATTTTGTGATAAACATGGTATTTTAATTCCCAAAATGGATAAAAACTATCCAAGGTCGAAGCGTAAAAGGTCAGATATTTCATATTCACATCACTTTCGTGTGGAAGTATTTTATGCTATTATTAATTTCCAACTTCTAGAGCTCAATTATCATTTTGATGTAGTGACTAGTGACTTACTCCTTGGTATGGCTAGTTTGATTCCGATTGATTCATTTGCTTATTTTGACAAATATAGAATAATGAAGTTGGCTGAGTATATCCAAGTGAGTTTGGTGATGGGGAGCTTGGGGTTTTCAGTTACCAGCTTGATAGTTTCATTGTCTATACTCGAAAGTGTGATATCGTGTTTCTCTATTTGAAAGGAATTAAGGATCTTGCTATAGTGATGGCCAAAACAAAATTGAATCAAACTTGTTGTCTTGTTTATTTACTTGTGAAGCTGACATTGATTTTACATGTTGCTACGGCAAGCGTGGAAAGAACATTCTCCTCAATGAAGCTCATAAAGAACGATCTACGTAATAGCATTGGTGATAAATTTTTGAATGGTTGTTTAGTTTGCAATATAGAGCTTAAGGTATTTGCAACTGTAAGTAATGATGCTATTATAGATCGCTTTCAAAATATGAAAGATCGTCGAGTACAAATATAAATTGATAATGTATTTTTGAGATAATGGAATTGGATAATTTTTGCTAGCCAAGTTGTTGTTTTTGTAAAATTTTATATGTATCTTTGAAGCATGTTTGTCTTTGAAGTAATTGTGCACCTATCTTCTCAAATTCCTGGATTCGTCTCTATCCTAGATAGATCTTTTTTATGTTTAAAATTTATTTATATGTCAATGATCGGATCTAAGATGTACCTGGTGAAGAGAGTCTCGATTCAAAACTTTATTGATAGTGCAAAGACTCTATGCGTATCCGCACCGATACGAATCCTTGCTATCAACTCTTTGATCAATGAAATCCGCGAATAAATTGAATGAAAATATTGTGTTGAAATTTTTTCCAAAAATCTCAACTCAAAGGTAGAAGAACAAGAAGCATTTTTCCTGTAATTGTATTTTCTCTCTTGGCTTTGTATTGCACTCTTATTTTCACAAAGTGATTTTTCTTCTCAAAACTTAATACGGTAAATTTTCTCCATCATCCTTTATATCATCACCTATAAACATTTTTCCTATTTGGTTGAGGTAATAATTTACTCAATGAAAAACTTTATTCTAAAAATATAACTTACGGAATTCTTTTTCCCATTGGAAAAAAAAACGTGGTGCGTCTGGTCCTTTTGGACGTTCCAACTCAATTCCAAATTGGATTGGATTATGAGGCTTAGGGTGTGTTTGGTACGAAAAAAAATAACTAAAAAATATTTTTCAAGAAAATAAGTGATTTTATCACTTATTTTTTCTTATTTGGTTGGTGAGTGAAAAATATTTTTCGGTAAATATTTTCTAGTGTTAGGTTAGAGATTATAAAATATTATTAGGAAAATAATTTTTTATGCTACTCTCCTCAACCACCTTTCCCAAAATTCTCATGTGTTCCTATACTCCTCCCCCCCCCCCCCCAACTCTATTTTCTCCAAGAATTTAATTATTTTTTTTAAAATTCACACAAACCTAAAGGAACTAATATGCTACTTTATTTTTTTACACAAGAACAACGATGAAATTTGAGTTTGATAATTAAAAAGAAAATACTTTATTTGTTGAAAAAGAAAGTATCCTTTCTACAACATGAAAAGAAATTGCTCATTTTGTTGAATGAAAAAAAATATTTTTTCTATATCAAAAAAGAAAATAGTTAGTTTAGTGAAATGAAAGAAAATACTTTTTCTACATCATGAAAAGAGTACTTTTTGTTGAAAAAAATACTTTTTTATTTCAAGAAATGAAAATACTTAGTTTGTTGAAATTAAACAAAATATACATCATGAAAAGAAAGTACTTGTTTTGTTGAAATGAAAGAAAATAATTTTACCATATCATGAAAAGAATATACTTATTCTGCTGAAATAAAAATAAATATTTTATCTACAACATGAAAAGAAAGTACTCTTAACAATAGTTATATTTAGAGTGGGTGGTGGGCGAGGTTGGGGTGAGTGAGGATGGATAGAGATTAGGGT